CGAAAAAAATCATTCAGTAAATTTTCTATTGGTAAAACGGATTGTCAATAATATGTCTTGTCAGAAAATAGGGTCATCAGTATTATGGACTTTGAGAAATAATATTTCGATAAAGTGGATTCGGAAAGTTGAGCAACAACGATTTAATGGATTTTTTGAGAACTAAAAATTATCACGGTATTGATTTATCATTATCAGTCTTAGTATTAATTAACTATAATTTGTTTATATTAGTTAATTAGATATTTATTAATAGATGATCATATTCAACTTAGAAAAACAATAAAACTATTAACATACTCAACTCGCAAGTTGTGTAGACTGGATTGTAATCAAACAACCAAATTTACAAGAATTGTTTAGAAAATTTAATTTATAATTATAATAAACCTCGTAATTTAGTAAGGGAATTATTTTATCACCATTTTTGATATTCATCCTAGATTTAATTCTGGCTTGCTTATGCGTCCATAAGTATCAAAAACGTACATATATCAATATTTATACAAATATTAAATTAGCATTTAATATCCTCCGCTTATTTCGTTTAGAAATGCGCTATATACTATGAACAGACTAGCCTAAATAAATTTATTATACTTGTAATTTGTTCTCTTTAAATTTTAAAATGACAGGATTACCTATTGAATGTCTTTTTAAAATATTTAATAATTTTAAATACTGTTATTATTATGGATATTTATTTTTGTATCTATTTATAAATCGCCAATGGTGCATAAATGTAGTTCAATATTATGGGGTGAACCATTATTGCATTCTAAAGATTAGAAAATTAGAAAACTTATAAAATATGCCTTTTATCATTGAATTCTGAAGAAAAGGCGTCATTTATCTCATTAAATATATCACTTCCAAATGAACAACATCAATCAACAGCCTTGATTTAAACAGAGCAATTTAAAATATGAGAATGTTGTTTAAATAGTTGAAGATCCTTTAATTACAACGTTATTATATAATAGTAAAGTAAAGAGTCTATTAGAGTTTCTTTACAAAAACATTACTATTACTTTATTAAAATTTTCTCAAATTACTTTTGGAGAATTAGAAATACTAACAGATGTTCTTGGTAAGAATATTAGCTTAATTTTATTAAAACTTTATAATTGTGGACATGATACTAAGAAGGCAAAGGTATTATCAGAGGCTTTTTATAAAAATATATTATTATCTTCTCTTGATCTTGGCTTGAACAATATTGAAGATAAAGGGATAAAAGCATTTACAAAAGTTCATTATAAAAATAACACTCTGGCCGCTATAGATTTTAGTTATCTTAGAATTACTTTTGAAGGTGTAAAAGCACTTGTAGAGGCACTTTAAAAAAAATAACACATTAACCACTTTATATCTTATTGATAATGAACTTTGCATTAGAGATGGTGATGCAATAGAAGAAGCTTTTGCAGAAATACATCTCTGACTACTCTGGATCTTTATAATAATGATCATGGTTTTGAGGGAGCAAAGCAATAATGGAGGCTCTTTGTAGGAATAGAGTTTTAATTTCTTTAGAAATTGGAAGTAATAATAGAAGATTTGAAGAAATAAATATGATAGCAAAAACTTTAAGTAAAAACATTTCTTTAACCTTGTTATCTCTTAGTTGAAATAAACATAGTAATGTCAAGATATTAGCAGAGGCTCTTTGTAAAAACACCAATCTAACCACTTTGTATTTTTATAATTATTATAACTTTTATTCTGAAGAAATAAAAGAGATAGAAGGAGCACTTTGTAAAAAAGTTACTTTAACTACTATATGTTTCTGTTTAGGTAAAAACATCATCAGAAACTTTTATTAACAAACTTTGAATAAACATATAGAACTACAAATTTTAATATTCGAAAATAAATTTAAATATAAAAAACTATAATGAGTTAAAAAAAAAATTTTCCTATTGGATATTTTTTTTGGCCTTGCATTATATAAAGTAACCTTCTCTAGTATAATGCATTATTATTAAGAGGTTGCTGGATTTGAAAATATAATAAACTATTAGATTTATATAGTAAATGAACCTGGTAGATTAATTTTTATTGGATTTTACAGGCTTAATGTTTTTATTCAATTATCAAAATATTGGCTATAATATTTTAAAATTTAAAGAAGCATATATTTTGTTTGTTTTTCTATAAGTAATTAAAATATTATTGACAGTCCCAATATGATATTATAATTTTGATTTTACAATTGGAATATGGCAGCAAAAAAAAAAAAAGTAGTAATGTCATTGCTGCTTTAGTTCAGTAAATTATATTTGATACCAAATATAGATGTAGAATAGTTAGAGTTTTTTTAAATTAAATAGTAATATTGGTGCTAAAGAAATATTACCTTCATATAACAAAAAAAACTAATATCTATATGTTTATAAAATGAAATAAACTAACAGGATTTGAAAGTTCTCAAAAAACATATAAATAATTTGTTAGAATGATGCAATTTAGTGGTAAGTAACCTAAGCATTTTTGCATTTTTAGTTTCTTATATCGATTTGCTAATATTACATTATTTTAAAACAATTCTTACTTAAATTTTAAATATTAGATTTAAATAAACCTAGTCTCAATAAGACAGAACTTTTTTTATAGTGTAGTTCAATAGAATTATTTATAATTTGAAAATTTTCTAGAATAAAATTTAAATTTAAAAGACTGAGTAAGATAAGATACTTTTTTTTTTTTTTTTTTTTTTCAAGGTAAGATTGCTTCTCTAAATACTTTTTATTATATTAACTGTATATCTATTACATCTATTACAGACATGTGATACAACTAACTTTTTATGTATGTCGAGACTAAGGCTATGATCAACTATCTATATCTGGGAACTACCTTATGTGATAATTCGAAGTATCTCTAGTATCACAATTTACCTCCGACCTAATACCTGCTGGCAAGGTAAGTGACCTACCAGACTTAGATTGTTTGTGTCCCACTCACAATAATCTTTTTGCAGTTACCGAAGTTTCCACTTGCAATTTGTTGTCATACTTCAAGTCCATCAATGATGTCCTGGGTCCCTACCCCTGCGGTGTAGAACTCTTATGAATCTGCAGTTCCTTGACACATGACTCCATTGATCGCTTCTTGCCCTTACCCAGTTCACAACAACCCCAGTACTCACATTTGAACTGTCTTCTTACCTGGATTCTTTATCGGTCCCTCCTTTACTTCCAGCTGGCAACACCCGGAAGGGTTGGTCTGCCCAGGCTTTAGATACCTGAAGGACGCCCTCTCCTTGGTCCATACTTTTGGAGTGTATGACCTTTTCCTCCGGTGCGACAACCCGGCGGTTCAGCTAGTGTGTTCTCCACCATAGGACCTGGTTGCTCAGTTCTCCGATCTCAGGCCCCAGTTTGAATTCAGCCCTCCTGTAATACTGTCAAAGATCACTGCTACCTCCAGATTCGGGTCTTCCCAAATGGGTTTTCGGTTATGCCGATTCCTCAGATTTATTGCGCCAAAGCTCCCATTTCTAAATAGTGTGACCGAAGTTACAGATTTAGTTCTAGATCTAACCGATAAGCATAGCCGTCAACTGAACACAGGCCTATTTTTCAAATATCGTCGCCAGTGGGATTTGAACTCTAGACCTGCCACTTGGAGAGGGTGACGACTAGACCACTACACTAAGTCGCCACACCTCAGATAAGATACTTTTTTAATTATTGCAACAATATTTTCTTTTATTGAAACAAACCATGCAAAAAAATAACTTACATTCTATATAGAATGTTTACACAATATCGAAAACATATATATGTGAGTACAAATTTATATATAAGATAAAATTTAATATCTTCTCTGCTAATTCTGGATATAAATAGGCTACCAAATTATAAATACATTATTCTAAACAATTTATTTTATTGATTTTGTTCTAATTTTTATAAAGACAATATTGCAAATGAATATCTTTATGAAATATTCAATTATCTTAGATACCTTATGGATATTTTTTTATTTCTTCTTGTAGCTATCAATGGTACAAAAATATAGTTTCAATATCTTGTAGTGAATCACTATTATATTGTAATGATAGAAAATTTATGAAAATATACCTTCACATTGAGTGCTGAAGAAAAAGCAAACTGATCCTATTAAATATATAACTTTAAATAACAAAAATAATTATTTGTATATAAATATCTTATATGGTACTAGATTGATTAAATTGTAAAATGCTTTGCCATAAGGAAATGAATTTTGTAACTTTGAGGATGTAATTTAAATAGTTAAAGTTTCATTAATTATAATACTATTATAAACAAGTAAAAAGATAAAGCATATAGATATAACTAAAATTAATTATAAAGAAGTAAAGAAACTATTGGAAATTTTTTCTATTTAAACACTAATATTATTCATTGGATCTTTCTCAAATTGAATTTAGCTTTGAAGAAGCACTAGTAGATGTACTTGGTAAAATATTAGATTAATTTTATTAAAGCTTTATGATTGTGGACTTGGTACTAAAATAGTAAAGGTATTATTAGTAGCTCTTATGAGAATAAAACTTTATCCACACTAAATATTTCTTGAATAAAATTAAAAATGAAGAAATAAAAGCATTTGCGAAGGTTCCTTAAAAAAATACAACATTGTTTCTATAGAATTTGTAATTATGAAATTAATTTTGAAGATGTAATAGCTAACTTTTAATCATAGTAGTAATTAACTTGGAATTAAAAAAGCAAAGCATTTTCAAAAGCTCTTTAAGAACACTTTTCTGATCTCCTTGGGCCTATATAAAAAAAATAACCTAGTCTGAAAGAATAAAAGTAATAATAGATGCACTGTACAGAAATACTAAGTTAAATTCAGATACAATTATTATATTGGGTTTTAAAAGATTGACAATGATGGTAGAAACTCATCTAAGAACACCTCTTTAACCCTATTATCTCTTAATGAAGTCGACTTGATAATAAATAATTTAAGTTATTGAAATAAGCTCTTTGCAAAACACTAATCTAGCCTTTTTGCTTCATTTCCTTAATCATTTGATTTTGAAAGAAAAAGAGAGATAGAAGAAGCACTTTGCACAAATCTTTAACTACTTTAGCTTTAATTAGAATAAAATCATAATCAGTAACCCTATATGTAAAATATTATTTTGATTTTTTTAGACATTAAAGTAACAAATTTGGCTCTTTCATAGTTATTGATTATAATTATCGAATGTTCACAGTAAAATCATTAATTGATTTAAATTTGATATAATAATAAAAACTTTTAGTGATTTTATCTTATTTATATGAAATTTGAAATTTTTATGCCACCATATAGCGAGCAAAAACACATCAGCACGATAGTATTGACATATCAGTGGATGAATCTGTATATTAAGATGTTTTAGGTGTGAATATATCCTAGACCTAAATCAGCCACCCTTTGGTCGGGCTGTGTTTCAGGTTGGTTTCGGGACGAAATAAATGGGTCGTGTGGCACGCATAGGCATATTTTACGAAATGGCTTGATTAAAAGTGATACAGACACTACGGGGTGGCACGTTATATCATTTCATACGGAACGTCACGTTCAGATGAAAGTCCAAGCCATTTACGGTCAAATTGGCACAGTATACAGTCCAACAAATCCATACCAACTCGAATCATACCCGTACAAATCCGGATCTTGATCCAGGCATATTTATCTTATAGGGCACTGATCTATCGTGTTTAAAAAAACTTTTCTAGGAAAATTACTGATGAGTTATTTCTAAATATAGTCCAAACTGAAAATGTGGGACCTCTTATTAAATTTATATGTACAGTATAGTGCGGTATTAAAGATAATATTGAAACATTTATAAAAGAGTGATAGAATCATAAAACTTATTAGAAATTTTATTGTATTGAAGGCTTGTAAAATATTAAGAAAATTATTTTTTATACCTCCAATTTTGATACTCGTCCTAGATACTAATACGTATTAAATGTCAATATATTCGGTTTGTGTTCCACACAAGATGCTTACACAAATACTAAAATCGTGCTTATAGTATAATGTGTACAAATATTAAATCGGACATTTAATATCCTCCGTTTCCTCCGTATAGTAAATACACTATATACTATGGAAACATTAGCCTAAGTAAGTTTAATATTCGTATTTTCGTTCTCTTCGATTTTTAAAATGATAGCATTACCAAATGAATGCCTTTTTGAAATATTTAATAATATTAAATACTGTTGTGGAGATTTATATTCGTGCCTTCTTGTAAACCGTCAATGGTGTAGAAATGTGGTTCCAATATTATGGAGCGAACCATTAACACAGTGTAAAGATTGGAAGCTTATGAGAATATACCTTTTATCATTGAATGATGAAGAAAAAGAATCATTGATTCCATTAAATATATCACTTCCAAAAGAACAAAATCTACTATTTGAATATACATCTTATACCACATCGATTGACAGCTTTGATTTAGAAAGAGGAATCAAAAACTGGATTAGTCCTGAAGGATTTGAGCCCTATACCGATTTAAAATCTGAGAATGTGGTTCAAATAGTTAAAGATTCTTTAATTATAATGTTATTACGTACAAGTGAGAAAATCAAGCATGCGAATATACGTGAGACCAATAATAACAAAGTATTAAAGATACTATTAGAATTTCTTTACAAAAACATTACTATTACTTCATTAAATCTTTTTCAAATTAAATTTAGTTTTGAAGAAATAAGAACGCTAGCAGATATTCTTGGTAAAAATATTAGCTTAATTTCATTAAAACTTAATGAATGTGAACTTGGTTCTAAAGAGACAAAGATATTATCAGAGGCTCTTTATGAAAATATAACTTTATCTTCTCTTGATATTAGCTCGAACAAAATTGGAAATGAGGGAATAAAAGCAATGGCCGAAGCTCTTTACAAAAATTCATCTCTGAACACCTTGTATCTTTATAATAATAATCTTGGTTTTGAGGGAATAAAAGCGATAGTCGGGTCTCTTTACAGAAATACTAATTTAGTTCATTTAGATATTGGAAATAATGAAATTGGTTATGAAGGAGTAATGGTGATAGCAGAAGCTTTAAGTAAAAATGTTGCTTTAACCTCTTTAGCTCTTGATGGACATCAACTTGCTAATGTCAAGAAATTAGCAGAAGCACTTCGAAAAAACATTAACCTAACCTTCTTGCATTTTTATAATGATTATTTTGATTATTTTGATTCTGAGGAAATAAAAGAAATAGAAGAAGCACTTCGTGGAAATATTACTTTAACTACTATAAGTTTCAGTTATGGTGAAGGCATTATCAGAGATTCTAATTGATAAAATTTGAATAAACATATTCGCTTATTATGTAGATGAGTTCGGAATTCTGTAAATTTGGAATACACTTAAGTGGATTCTAAATCAAACTTATAATATCAAAGCAACTTGAGTGGAAATTGATTTTAAAGATAATAAAGAATGCATAATTTTATAGCTAAATCATTGTATTATAAGAATTAATATTCCAATTATCCTTATAATTACATTTTTGGGGACAATTCTGGTAGAAACAGACTGCATGTTAAAAGGTTATACATTACAGTACATATTATTTCTGACCCATTTGCATTTTAATTATTATGATAATTTGAACTCGTTTAATTCTCAACTTCCGTAGCCGAAAAGAATTTTAAATACGAAACTTTTATTGTATTAGTATGGTAACATTAATAAGATTGTAATTAGATCGAGATAGTGAAAATAAAGGTTTTATGAAGGAATTTATTAGCAAATGTATTCATTAAAAACGTCTTGAAATAAAAGAAATATTGAAATACTTACAATTATTATGATTACTAACATTCGACTAATTAAATTATCTTTTATAAGATCTGAAAATCGACTCGTCCCGAATCCACATGTCGGATATTATTCAATTATCTTGGAATGATTATCGGGAGATTTTGCACTATGTGGTGTGAAACCGGAAACGTGATCTGACAGTAGGCATGTACTTGCACGACCTGAGAAATTCTAAATTTGGATTATTGGCTGAATTCTGCGAATTGGCAGATCCATCAGATTCGACAGAGATTCAAAGGATTCGACAGATTCAACAGCGAATACGTTGATCCAATGGGGAAGTAAGAGACTTATAGCAATAAGAGTAATTTTGGCTATAAGGCCCATTATATTATGTAACAATAGATAGTTATTAATTATAAAAAAAAGACCCTTTAAGCTACATAGCATAAATTAATTTCGCTCATTAAACCACTAGCCAAATCTAACACGCCTTTTTCGAACTAGTACCTGATTTGTACATATAAAAAATTTTCAATTTATTTTTTGATATGATCTTTATAAAGTTTATGCAGATGCATCAAAAAATGTAATTTTTGCATCACTTTGCATAGAAGATAAGGATCCTTCACTACGCCGGATCAATAATAGAAATGAGATGTCATATGAAAAATTTTAACGTAACAGCGTACAAATATTAAATAGGCATTTAATATCCCCGATTACTTATATACCATCTACTAACTCACTGGCCTAAATAATTCAAATATTCGCAATTTCATTCTCTTTTAAAATGATAGCATTTCCAAATGAATGCCTTTTTGAAATATTCAATAATCTTAAATGCTGTTATGAAGATTTATTTTCATGCCTTCTTGTAAACCGTCAATGGTGTAGAAATGCTGTTCCAATATTATGGAGTGATCCATTATCATATTGTCAAGATTTGAAACTTATGAGAATATACCTTTTATCATTGAACGCTGACGAAAAAGAATCATTGACTCCACTAAATATATCAATTCCAAATGAACAAAAGATATTATTTGAATATACTTCTTATACTACATCGATTGACAGCTTTGAATTAGAAAGCGGAATCAAAAACTGGCTTAGTCATGAAGGAATTAAACCCTGTAACGATGATAGGTCTGTGGATGCAGTTCAAATTGTTAAAGATTCTTTAATTACAATGCTATTGCGCACAAGTAAAAGAATTAAGTATGCGTATTTATATAAGACCAATAATAACAATGTAGTAAAGATACTATTAGTATTTCTTTACAAAAACATTACTATTACTTCATTAAATCTTTCACTAATTGAATTTAGCTTCGAAGAAATAAGAACACTAGCAGATATTCTTCGTAAAAATAATTGCATAATATCGTTAAAACTTTATAAATGTGGGCTTAGTTCTAAAATGGCAAAGGCGTTATCAGAGGCTCTTTATGAGAATACAACTTTATCTTATCTTAATCTTCGCTCGAACCAAATTGGAGATGAAGGAGTGAAATCATTTGCAAAAGCTCTGTACAAAAATACCACTCTGACTACTATAGACTTTAGTTATAATAAATTTACTTTTGATGGTGTAAAAGCACTTGCAGAGGCACTTAATAAAAATATTACTCTAACCACTTTATACCTTGCTGGTAATGAACTTGGCAATAGAGAAGGCAAAACAATGGCAGAAGCTCTATACAGAAATACTTCACTTACTACTCTGAATCTTTGTAATAATAATCTCAGTTTTGAGGGAATAAAAGCAATTATGGAAGCTCTTTATAGGAATAGAGATTTGATTTCTCTAGATATTGGATGTAATAATATAGGATTTGAAGGAGTAAAAGTGATAGCAGAAACTCTAAGTAAGAACATTGCTTTAACTGATCTATCTCTTAGCGGAAGTCAGAGTGATAATTTTAAGATATTAGCAGAAGCTCTTTGCAAAAACACCAATCTAAACTCCTTGTACTTTTATAATTCTTATCATGATTATTTTTATTATGAGGAAATAATGGAAAAAGCTCTTTGCAGCAATGTTACTTTAACTACTATAGATTTCAGTGGTAAAAGGATTATCAGAAATTCTTCAATGACTAGCTTTGAATAAACGTATCGAACTACAAAATTTAAAATTAGTTAATTTATAAATAAAAAAATGAAAAGAATGTTAAAAAAACTTCTTAGATTATAAATTGTAAAAAAATTCTCGAATAATCTTTTATAAATATGGTAACAATCCTACAATCGGCGAGTCTGTTACTTGAACGAGGTAGCATTGTGTAACCAAAGTTTAAGTTATATTAGATCGAAAAAGGCGTGTTAGATACGGCTGAGAGGTTAAGCAGAGTTTTAGGATGGTTTTAGGATGATAGGGATTTTGAAACAGTTAGCGAATGTATGATTTTATTATGTATTATATGTAGGGATGGAATTGCATGTTTAATAAAGACGCTTATTATTATTATAAGAATGTATTTTTTAAAGCAAAGGCGGGAGATGATGTTCCCGAAGGGCCAAAAGGCCTTTATTTATAATTAATGCAATATCTATTTTTACATGTCAGAATAGGCCTTATAACCAGAATTATCCTTATTGCTGTAATTATTGTTATTTGTCATATTCTCTTTTCGACTATTTTATCCATATTCGAGTAATCCACCAAACTCTCCGAATTCTCCGAATCCTTGGAATCCCCAAATTGGATTCCTGGATCACGCGGACATGTGCCTGCGATCAGGTCTCAAATACCTCGTTATAGTAGACCCGTTATAGCAAATTTCTCACTATAATAGAGTGATTCTAGAGACAGTTTAAAATTATTGTTACTGTGATGTATAATACAATAACAGATATTAATTATAACAGTTTGTATTTCTCAGTCCGATCGATACCTTATAACTAGTATAGATTATACCTCTAAATACTAAACAGATGTTGTTATAATAATTTGCTGTTTGTATCGAACTAAAATATAATTTGAACTAATTTTCTTAATCAATTACGAAATTATTAATGTTATATTTCGATATTATTAATATTATTAACTAGATAATATAAAATGCACCTATGGGGTTTAATGCCATTATTGCTAAAATTTGGATTAGAGTGAATATGGCCGAAGATAGGGGTTGAATATTTACACCAAGTATTAATTGTTAACTATGGATTCAACACCTATGGTGCATTTAGTAAAGCCATAATAAATTATCGTATGACTTTAAAAAACAATTTTATTGTTGAAGCCAAATAAGTTTGAATCTGAAAAAAAAAGCTTATGTGAAAAAAACCTAGAATATTTGCTAAATTTTGCAAAAAATAAAAGATAAAAAAATAGCATCACATTACACTTTATTGTTGGACTATGCCGGCAAATTATTGTAGGCCGGAGATGATTTTTATTGAAGCAATTAAGTGGTGATTAGTACATGATCATGAAACGAGTGATTGACCGAGATTAGTCAGAACAGCAATGACATCCCGAGAGGTTGCAATAAACATTGCGCTGGGAGTCGCCGTAGGATTGATTAGCCGGTGGTTTCCAGCTCGCTAAAGCAAGCCGGCTATGAGTATATTATTGGTTGAGAAATTGAAAAATACGCAGGTAGAGAAATGGTAGGTGGGTCGAAACTTTGATCATTCAGGTTTAAGCTCCACTGGATCCGTACTCTGTTTCTTGGTTTAAATATGCATCTTTATTGAGGCTTTGGTTACCCGGTCCCTTGTGCGTAACTAACATATGTCGTTAACATATGCTGTTATGTGTCTTCATATGATTTTCAACATTTAATTACTTTCCTTTCTTTGGTTAGCGCTGCGCGAAATTCGGTGCGTGGCATGCGGTGGCGCCACACGTGTGGCTGCTTCGCTTTATGACCACGTGATCTACCATCACTTTTGCATTAACAATACCTATAACACTGGGATAAATAAGTACGTATAAAGAGGATATGATTAATTTTCCTGTGTCTCATCACTTCCGTATTTGTCTAATTCCTCAACAGTCGATCGAGATGTCATGCAGATCATGTGAATAAATTTTTTATTATGAAATTTGAGTGATCGATGCTCATGAGATTTTCGATTTTCATAGTAAATTGCAATGGTTGGCCATTTTCAATCACCATTTGCAGGGGTTCCTAAAATGAAACTGTGTTCTGAACAATGTGAAATGATTCAGCAAAATAAGTACTTTATTATTTTTATGTTTAAAGTGAGAAAAATAATAAACTCTATAAGAACCTTGACCTCAAAGATGACGGTTTTTTTATATTTTTATGTTTAAAGTGAGAAAAATAATAAACTCTAAAAGAACCTTGACCTCAAAGATGACGGTTTGTTTATAATTTATAGTAAGTAACATTCTTATGATGAACTAAGTATTGGTAAGCTTTTATTTCTGCACTGAGTTGAAAGCTTTAAACCAGTTAAAAAGATGATAAACTAACAATAATATTAATGTTAAAGACTAGACCTATTTTTAGTTTAGTTTATATTGGAATGCAGTTTATAATTATGAGTAATCTTAATCTTTGTTTGGTTTGTTTTATATTAATTTAGAAGCACAAATCTTATACACTAGTTATTTTATATTTTACTCTCCATAGGTCAGGTTATCAGAAAAAAAGTGCACTAGTAGGGGCATTTTGGGAGTTCTGGTCCACTTTTTTCACACCTCTATATGACATATTGTTAAAAACCGCTTTAATCATCATCCTGCTATATTTTATAGCACTTTTATATACTTTAGCTTGGTGTAAATTTTTATATAGCTAAAACACATTCATT